GTGTGTGTGTGTGTGTGTGTGTGTGTGTGTGTGTGCGCGCACGTGTGTGTGTATTTGTGCCTCAGACGTCTGTGGTCAGTGTGAGGCAGACCCCAGATTTTGCAGCGACAGGCCGGTGGGAGGTGGAGACAGAGAGGAGAGACGGTCGGAGGCAGACTGCTGTTTTTGATGCAGTGATGGTTTGTAGCGGACACTTCACCAAACCTCACCTGCCTCTCAGAGACTTCCCAGGTACCAGGAGTCATCATACACCCTGCAGCTGCTGCAGCTCCACACACTCACTGCTCTTCAATGGGGTACATACGGCTATGAATATATGTTTTCTTTATATTCTTATTCCATCTCAGGTATTGAGAGCTTCAAAGGTAGATACTTCCACAGCTGGGATTATCGCAACGCTGAGGGTCTGCAAGGTAAAAGAGTGGTGGTGATCGGGATTGGGAACTCCGGAGGCGACATCGCTGTGGATATCAGTAGAGTTGCTGAGAAGGTACAGTTTTGTGTCTTTTTGAAATCTATCATTGCTGTTCCATATTAAATAGCCGCTGCATGTGGCTGTACTTTGCGGTTAAAATTAATCTAAAAGCTGAGCACATGAATCTGAAGCCTCTACGTTGTGACCTGACCTGCAGGTGTTCCTCAGTACCAGGAGCGGAGCGTGGGTCATCAGCCGCTTGGGACAGGGGGGGCTCCCGGCTGACCTGGTTGGGACTTCTCGAGTGGATGCGATGATGCAGAAGCTCTTCCCCTCGTGGATCAACAGGATGGTGGAGAAGAAGATGGACGAAGCATTTGACCACAGACTGTATGGTCTGAAACCAAAACATGGGTAACAATGGCACTTAGTTGAGCAATTATTTCTAAGCATCAAAAGTCCAAATTCCTATCTAGCAGTGCTTCACGCAGTAATGTTCACTACATATCATAATGTCAAAGTATTGGCAGAGTGTACGACATGATTCACCTGCTGGGTCTAAAGTTAAAGTTTGGCCTGCGGGTGGCATCAGATGAGAGCTTAGAAGTGTCCAAATATGAAGTGCGACCACAATATAACTTGAGCAAAAGTTTAATTTTCAGTTGTCTTATGTATCCATTTTATAATTTGTGCACACAAGCACCACGTATAAAAGTTTCTTTACATATCTATTGTGTAACGGTTAAACATTTGGCCTGATAATAGTGCTGGAAGACTGATTATGGGTGCAAAGGGTTCAAACACCAAAGAGAACAAATTCACTCTCTACTTCCTCGGTGACAGTGTATGTACGTCTACACACAGAGTGTGTGTTTTTGTGCCTCTGAGACTTCTCATGTACTGAAGTTCCCTCACACAGCTCTGCTGTCCTTTTCTCAGTTTTTTCACACAGATCCCTCTTGTGAATGACGACCTGCCAGCTCGGATCATCTCGGGTCGGGTTCAGGTGAAACCAAATGTGAAGGAGTTCTGTGGATCCAGGGTGGTCCTGGTGGATGGGAGCATCATAGACAAGGTGTGTATTTGTACAATTCTTAGACTTCAATGTACATTAATTGTAAATATATATAATTGCATTCAAAACTGTGATGTCCTTTTTTTTGGACTCTCCTCCCTTTTTGTTTTCTGCACACAGTACTTTGTTTCCTTGTGAATTACGGTCCGGTTATAAAAAGAAACAAAGAAATGAAATGCTGCTCTAACCTCTAAAGTGTGTGTGTGTTTGTGTGTGTGGGTGTGTGTGTGTCTGTGTGTGTCACACAGGTGGACATAGTGGTGTTTTCCACAGGGTACAACTACAGCTTCCCCTTCCTGCCCTCAGCTCTGCAGGCTAAACGTGGTGACAAGCTGTGTCTCTACAAGCACGTGTTCCCTCCTGCACTGACTAAGCCGACTCTGGCGGTGGTGGGCTTCATCCAAAGCTTCGGGGCGATCAACCCTCTTGCTGAGATGCAGGCCCGCTGGGTCACAAGAGTGTTTAAAGGTAAAGCACAGTGTTAAGCGGATAAAACAATGATAAAGATATACAAATAACTTTTAACTGAAACAGACTCAATGTGATACTAATGCCTCTATATGACCTAAATACTCAAAGCGAGAAGATTGGCCATTTCTATACAGTGCTGGATATTCTTAGTGCCTGTCATTGAATCTGATTAAGGACTAAGCGGGGCAGACTTGCAGACTTTCCTGCAGGAAATTTGAGGTTTTCAAAAGGGAGTCTGGCAGCTGCATCTTTAAAACACAAAGTGGTGACGCTCGTGGAAACACTACCGCTTTTGTCCACAGGGGCCGCAAAAATCTCCACAAAATGAAAGTTCCTTATAGTAACTCGAAGTATGTTTGTTGACCTGTTAAAGAGGGCCCAGGGTCTCCAGGACCCCAAACAGAACATCAGCGTTAAGCTCACTGTTAAAATAATGTATCTGTGTGTGTGACTGATTATTTTTTCATGCAGGCTTAACCACCCTCCCATCAGAAGAGACCATGATGAAGGAAATTGAAAAAGACACAGCAGCTATTCATCAGAGGTAGGAAATATGTGTGAGTTGTATCCAAATTAAGATGTTGAGATGATCACAAATAATCCATGTCACTTTTCACATGGGCCATCATAGTTATCCTGCACGCTTGGCACAACCTTACCAGTAGATGGCGCCAAATCATACACACTAGAACTTTACATTTCTCTCTTTCAACGTCACATTTTTTTGTTTGCTTTATTTTAAAAAGTCCCCTATAAGAATCGCTGTTTTTAATGTGTTATAATGTTTTGTTTTTGTTTTTTTACCTGTGTTAGAAAGTGTAACCCCCACCAGGTGAACTACATCCCTTACCTGGACTCTCTGGCAGAGCAGGTGGGGGTTAAACCAAATATACTGTGGCTCTTGCTGACAGACCCCAGACTGGCTCTGCAGGTTTTGCTGGGTCCCTGTACTTCTTACCAGTATCGTCTGACTGGACCGGGCCAGTGGGCCGGAGCCCGTCAGGCCATTCTCACTCAGTGGGAGCGGGTGCATCAGCCTTTCAGGACCAGAGTGGTACCAGAACCAGAGACCAGACCCTCCTCTAGACGGAGCATCATTGTGATTGTTTCAGGTGCAGCGCTGCTGTGCTCCTTCTTCTCTCCTCTGGCATTCTTCAGACCTCCTCAGTAAGACGGAGTGGTTGTTTACATTAATGATGGAAACAGACGGCAACACATTCTCTTTATCAAAGAGCTTTAGGCAGAGCATGTTTTTAGACTGTACTAATTTAACAATTTGAATGAGAAATAAAGTCTTAAAAAATGAACATGCTCGTTTTGGCTAAGTCTGTACAGCATACAACGTACTGAATGTATGTAAATCCTTCTGTTTGAACTTTTTATTTGAGGCCCTCCCTTTACAGAGCTTGATGACGTCACATCTCATTGTTTTTTTCATTAGTGGCTCTGTCCCGATTGTTCTCGTCTCCATAATCTTGAATAAAGAGTGTGTTTAGGCAGCTGCTTGCAGTCAGATGAAACAAACAAACACAAAAGTTAATTGGACAAACTTACTCTGAACTTTCTTGAATACTCTGCGATGGATATTTGAGCATTTCTTCAGCCAGCAGTACTATGTTCCTGTGTAAACATACAGTAAAGAGCACTTCTGGTATCCTTGTCTCGAAGTCAATGTGTGTTTTAATTGTGTTTTTGTCTGAAATAAGACATAAGATTTTTACGCTTTGTTCTTGAACATAAAATATAACAGTAAATACCCCAACTCGTAAATGTTGAAGCTTTTGTCTTAAAAAGGTGGCTGCTAACAAGTGACTAAATAAGACGATTAAATGTCATCATGCAGATTAGTCCGTTTTCTTCTTACTTCTGCAAATTGCATTCAGGCTTCAAAAATCCTAAAAGATGTGTTCATTTGTGAAGATTATCTTGCTAAAGCCAAACTTGTGAATGTCATAAATGTTTGTTTTAATCTTTTGGTCATCGTTTTGCTTTTCGTTTTAGTCATTTTGTGTTGTTTTGGTAATTTCCCGTCTCCCGTAGTTTTGTGTCTCTTTGTGACTTCCCAACCAAAACAATGTTTGCAGTAACTTCAAACAGAGGCTCATGCCCAGGGCCCCCGAACCTGTTTGGCCCCTGAGCCTGTGGACCCACTCGGTATCCGTCCTATATAGTAGAATCATAATGCTGTCAGTCTTTACTCTCGCATTGGCTTTTTTACAGTCTAACAATAAATCATTCGACTTGTTTGTAGACGCAAAAGTTACTGTTAAACAGCAACGTCTTCTGTGGTTCCATTTGCTGCACAGTTTAAGTGTCAAGCTGATACAAAACCAGCAGCGCCACCCTGTGTATTTAGTGAGTCATGACATTGTTTATATAGGCTAAACTCAAATTAATAAAATATGAACAATATCCAGTGATATGACCTACAAGATGAATGTTGCATTTCACCTAAATGCGTGTCGCCCAGACTGGACAGGACACGCTCCTCAGACACGGTTACATCTATGCCCCAAACAGCCTCCAAGGTGGATTTTGACTCCACATAAAGTGAGTTATTTTCGTGCAGTGTGTTTCCCTTTGCACCAGTTTAAGGACCCACCCGCTGCTGTCAACAGCTCAAGGATCACGTTAAGATCCTACATATGTGCCCCATCCCGTCACTCCCACTTCCGCCCACCGCAGAGACTACGTGCAGCACGAGCAAATACGTCTCCTTCCAACAATCACAAACAGGTAAAACACAGTTGGTGCAGAAACAGATTGTAACTTTGTGAACGCATTTATGTTTAGAGTTGTGGTAAAACCGAGATGTGGTCTAAATGCTCACGTTAAACGTCTTGTTGTTGAGCCCTTGCAGAGTTCAGAGTCGCACTAAACAACAAAGTTTAGTTTGTTAGTTATTCTGATAAATTGAAAATAAATGATACATTTCCGGGTATCATGTTGGTGCACGACTATAATTAGAGAATTTAGAATGAGAACATACCGGTAACGGTACAAATTACCGTCCAAATCTATAGTATTTGAACTTGTATTGCCGTCTTCCTCGACTGGATTTACAGGTTACGTAACTCCCTCCCTCAGAGGAAAACTGTTGCGTTGAATCGGGATTATTTGGCAATGGTGTTGTTTTTGGAAACTTTCATGGCGATAAAGCCACATTGTATTGACTATTAAGAAGAAGCTGCATTTCATGGCTACACGCATTACTAGAATAAATCATTTTATTTAATGTATTTTATATATGTATATATTTTATATATATATATATTTTATATATATATTTTATATAT